ATACTGTATAACTCGCAAGTCGAGAAGGCAGTTTAAAAAACACAATATTTCATTATATTTCTTTTTCTGTCGGCGTGAGGTTGCCTAAAGTTCATTCCGTACCATCAAACTTCTTGTGACCCGAAGGGACCAGATTGTACTGCCGTCATATTACAAAATTTGACGCCACCTTTCCAGTATTTCCAGTACAACCTGTCAGAGCAAATTTGACACTTCGCGGGAAAAAACAAAACAAAAACATAATTGCGGTTTTTAATTCGGGTTACAATTTCAAGTGTGTATATTATTATGTTGAACCAATTTCGAGGCGAATCAGTCCCATCAAAAATTCGTTTCGAGCCTAGTAGGTCCTTCTTCAGTCAATCGTTCTCTTTCTCGGGAAAGAGAACGATTGACGGAAGAAGGACCTACCTGGCCTGAAACGTTTCGCATCGCCTCATCCCATCGCTCCCGACACAGCTGTAGGGCAAACCTTTTGTGATATATATATATATAGAGAGAGAGAGGGAGAGTGTGTGTGTTTTTCTTTTGTTTTTGCAAATTTGTTTTAAAAAAAGCCACGAAAGCTACACTTATGCGGTTTGTGCGAGTGAGCATTCGACGACTAGTATGGGAGGGTGCGGAGAAATGGGACAGTTTTCACGCTATAATTTTTTGTATAGTTTAATGGGCACATAGAAACAAGTTTAACGGTTCTAAATGTAGGCTGAAAGACCCTTCACGTCAGCTAAACAGCCCTTTGTCCTAAGTCTTGTAGAAATGTAAAAAAGAAATTGCACCAACAAAAATGTGTCCTCTCCCATCCTCCCCCTAGAGAGGAATGGGACACATGCTATATTGCGCTAAAACTGTACTGGTGAATATTATTTCAGAAGGGCCTTCATCAGTCATGAAGCCCGATAGCAGCCATATTTTGTCCTCCGGCTGTTTGTAGCTTTGAACTGGGAATTAAAGGGGTATATTTTCTAACTCCCCGGGCTTTACTCTTTCCGGTATGCTATTCAGTATCGCGAAATTATAATAGTTATTGTGAAATCGGCAGATGAAAATGATGCAAAAACCAACATTCAAATATCCCCCCACTTTTCACTGCCGTGACGTCAGTTACGGGGGCAGGCTTGCCAGTCGAGCAAGCGGTCTAAAAAAATAGAATATGCCAATCATTTGTTCCGTGCTGTAGCGCGAGTGCTGGAGCGGGCTTCCAAAGCATTCATTTGTTACCATGAAACTGCTTCGAATCAGTTGGGAACAAATTGTACAGTCCAGAGAGTGAACCCCTGCCTTCCCCTGACGTCACTTTTTCATTGTTGCCAGCAGAGACTTTCAGTTTGAAAAACACAGTGAGGAGCAAAATTGTAAATTCAATAACTTCGTGAAAAAAAATTATTCTGACCTTATATATTGGATACTATTTTAGCGATGTCGTTCGGAGATTTTAGCAAAAATTTTAAGCAAATCGGGACCATGAAAAAATCGCCGGAGTACCCATTTAAGAGCGGTGTAACATTTTACACAAAACAAGTAATTGGTGGCATAAATGCAATATAAAAAAATGAGACGATCCACTATTATTACAGGTTAATCTTAGTGTTAATCTACCAGTCAGGGATCCAGTTTTTAAATAAAAAAAAGAACTGAAACGCTGTCTCATCCCTCCCAGCATCTCACTGTCCCCTTCCTCCCAAACTGCCTTGCACATGCTAAGTTGACAATTGTGGCAACAGGTGAGATTTTAAGCTGAATATACTTGAAAGGATAAAACATCGAGGACGGGGACGGAAACAGGACTTCTTTCAAAGTCCTGTTTCCATTCCCGCGTCCTCAATATTTCATTCTTTAAGGTATTTCATATCTATTCACCAACACCCTCGTTTTCAATTATTAGCACATGTTTTCAATGCTAGTTTACAACAGCCGTTGGCCAAACCGTTTTGGTTCAAGAATAGAGCGAAACCAATTTTTGCTACTTACTTTTGAGTGTCTAAGCAGCAACCACTGACTCAAATCGTGTACACCACGTCAAGCAGGCACGCCATTAGAGCTGAAAGTACCGTTCTCACGGCATCATCAATCTGGCAGTTTGTCAACTTTTTTGAACCATTCACTGAAGAAATATGTTAACTGTCCCACTCCGCCCACCGTCCCATTACTCCCCACTCTTCTCTACAGTTGTCATCGGGACCGTCACAAAAGGCATGGGCATGCCTGACAAGGTGACAGCACCCCTCCCCGGCCACACCATTCAGCAAGTTCATACAAAAGGACTGTTCAACAGGGAAAGGAAACTCGAATGACCGGGACGAACAAAACACCAGAACTTTATCTTGAAGGGATACTTCAACCAAATTTAAAATATACCCGTCATGTTCAGAAATAGGCTGAATATGATCCACAATATCCGTTTCCCTCTACAAGATTATGGAAAAATAACCCGTCTCTCAAAATTCACACAAAAGCAGCTTTGCGGTTAGTTGCGGTGGCCCCATCGCTGGCGTGTTTCGGCGGTGGTGGCTGGAACTGCTGCGACATCCTGTCGACGTTAGCGTCGTCACAGCTTTGCTCGTCCCGAGACAATCTACGTCACGATTGCGCCGGATGTCATGTGCTCTCCGCTGGCTGCTCTCCGAGCGCTTGCCACGAAAAATACAGCCATCCCGGCACAAAATACAAACGTGTGATTGTCATTTACAGATATTGTGGATCATACTCGGCGTATTTCCAAACACAAAGGATATATATCAAATTTCGTTGAAGTATAATCCTTTAAGGTAACGTCAAGCCTTCGTTTTATGTACAAGTAGGAAGTAATGTATTGCGTTCTTTTTTTTTTATGCCGGCTGCAAGACTGATTTGAAGCATTCAACCGACAAAATTATTCTTTTCCCAACAAAATAACAAGATACCAGAATAACTTATAAATGACTGCTGCATCATACACAAGCTTGAAAGATAAAACAAGCAAGCTTGCATTACTCATGCTATCACTACTTGCTTTTTTGCGTTTTTGATTGGCCACGTCACGAAAGAAAACGTCGTTGGTTTCATTTTTGATAACTCGGTGACTCGGCCTCGGTAGGACAGGTTTGGCTGTGGCCCTCCAAGGTTCTCCAGAACATTCTTCAACCTAAACCCCTTCCGTCCACGTGACCCCAGAAGGCCCAATCCACGAGCAAGCAACGATGCAGTACAAAAGGCGGCGCGACCCAAAACCCGGATGACTCTACGAATCCGAGCTCCTCGCGGTCACCAATGCTCAGCAGCGGTGCGAGATGGTCCACGCCGATCAAAACCGGAACGCCGCGGCCGCCACAGAGGACGTGTTCTGCGAAGCGAGGGAGGCCACCCTGTCTTACCTAATAGCCGTCCTGGTACTCCTGCTTGTCTTCCTCTGCTTCGCGCTTGGCTTCTGCGCTTACCAGACGAGGCAGGGGGCACGTCGGCAGCGGAAACGTCGGCGCAAGACTTGCCGAAGACATCGCGCTTGTCACTACTGTAAGTCGGAAGAAGGACGTTACTCAAGGTCGTCGGCCTGCCTTCGTCTCGGTGGCGAGGACGGGTCCCCAGTGAGCCTTCTGGTGCGGCGAGGGTCGACTTCGTCGGCGGGCTGGGCTTCGCCCTTCCATCCCCGGTTCAACAGCCCGGCCAGCTCGAGCTCGTCGTCGTTGCAACCGAGTGTCCTGGGCACCGAGTTTTTGCACCCGGAGCCTACCACGGTAAGGCAGTTGCATGGGGCTTAAACGTGGCTTTTCTTTCTCCTGGATAATATCGTTGCATGTGTCTGTGTTTGGCACATCCTAAGCAGCGATCACCCTGCTCATACACCATAAAAACGACAGTCGGCACTGTCTGGTGCGTGTTTCTTATTGTATGACGGCCCTATCATGTCATACAAAACTTTTCTGCAGAAATGTTCGAAGCATACATATGCATGAAGCAAACAGCCTTCGAACAGGCATCAGGTAGTCCGCATATAATTCTGTCATGTCTTAGACATAGAAAACCAGCAATACTTACTGAGACAAATGTTTCCTGATGTTGTATCCACCTATCTTCGTGACAAACATGTTTTTAGGGCTGCAATTTTTGTAAGTAATTGATTACAGCTTTGTATGAAGATTACTCTTGATTTGTGCACTTTTCTTAGCCTGTGGGCTAAGTTTTGTCAAGATATCAAACTAAGAAAGCAAACGAATAAAAAGTACTTGAAGATGATCGAATGCTCTCGCTGTATTTCTATCTTGTATTTACATACATTCCTAAAAAGTGCAATTGGGTTTTGTAATTAAGCATTTTGTATTCGTGTTTTGTTACATCTTATTTTGCCCATTACTGCACCTATCTACCGCTTATCATCCAGGCGAAAGACACCCACTGAGCTGTAAGCGCATGCGCGGCTTCTGATGTTCAGCAGAACTCTCCTGCTCAAGGCCGTCCCCCAGTCAAAAGATGACTGTGCGCAGGAAAAGGGGCCCGTCCATTTCTATTCATCCATATCCGTCGTGCAATCTGCTCCTTTGTTTCCTCTGGACTATCGGGTGCTAACTATCGATAATGGACGATCGTGAAGATATTTGTTTCACTGGTTTTCTGGGGTGTCATAGTCAACGCGGGACCACGAAAAAGAGTAAGCGCGACTCAAACCGGCCAGTCCTCGATCGGCTGTTTTCGGTCGGTAATTTCGAGCTGCGAATAGTTTTGAGTAGTAGGGCTCTGATACGTAATTCACAAATAAAAACCTTGGCGAGCATAAATACCCTGTCAGCGTTCTTTTAACGATAATGTTTCGATACATATTAACATTTTTAGAAAAACTATATATAATATCGATAGTCAATTTAACAATATTCTTGAATCACTATACCCTATGGGGGCTCTGCTGTTTCAGTGGCCCGTACGTTTCAATGCACGCGAGTCTCGTTTCTGCGCACGCGCGACGCCTTCACCCAGGCTGTGGGTAAACGGACCTGTTTGTGAACACCGTGATTGTATACACACTTTACCTGTAACAAATACCGTGCAGGATCGTGCCAAGTCGGCGGGTCGGAACCGGCGAGTCACGCTGGCAACCGTTCACGGTCCGGAGGCAAGTGACCAGAGCCGCGTCTCGTCTCTGGAGTGGGACAACTTCCAGACTTCCGTGGCGACGTCCAAGGAACGCCTTATCCCGGACCTGTGTTCGACGGCTCGGCAGGACACCGAGGGACACGGTGGTAGTTCAGAGTCGTGCACCACCGTCGTATGGCTGGACACTCGGGAGCACTGGCTCTGATCATCTAGGGGCCGGGTTTGTTACGTGTTTTAACTGGATCGGACAAAGTATTAAACAGTAACACAATAATAAAAGAAAATTTAACATCGTCCCCTCCGTGTATTTTATGGGGTACACCTCGTTTTTTGGTGCGGCGATCAAGCCACCTCAGTGGCTCCGAGGTGGCTTGAATCGCAGGCAATTGCACACTCTGCATGCACGAGACGCCGAACAGATCCTTGATTAAGTGCTCTTTCTTCGAAGCACTTGTTGGCACGCATAAACCCCTGCAAATTGATGCCCCGTTTCTTGTAGCAGTGTTGTTCATGAAACGTTACCTGACGCGGCCCTCTGCCATAGGAGAACGAGACCTTCTTGCTTCTTCCTCTCTTGCTGAACTTTTTTTTTTTCTTTTCTGGCGTCTCAATTCACTGCGTATATGCTGAGCTCAAGTTCGTCTGCTACTTGCGCAGGGGTGGCGGTGACGTCAGAATGCCAGGATCTAATGGGCTCTGATCGGAAGGGTAGGGGGTAGACCTCAATGCTAGCTGCCTTGAGGTCTCTACCCACTATCTTTCCAATCAAACCAATCAGAGCTCTGCGTTCTGACGTCACTGCAAACCCAGCGCAAGTAGCAGACGAACTTGCACTCCGCATACACGCCGAGCCTCAGCCCGCGCTGTCGCTTCTTTTCAGTGATGCCCTCTTGGGTCCTCTTTTCTTTTCCAAAGCATTAAGACAATCGGAGCACACTTCCAGCAAGCGTCTGAGCCTATATATCATACAAGCGATTGGACAATTGCTGGGCGCCTATTCGGAAAATGTTCGTGGAGGCCAAAATGACAGTCTGATTGGTGCGTTTTCATGGACGTCCGAGGGCCTGGAATTTTAGAACGAATTTGAGCGCGTAAGGAGCGCAGTATAGAGCGTTTAAGATGCTGCAACTTTCACAAGGCTGGCGGTGCAAAGACTCGGATAATAAACTGTAAAATTGTTCGGGTGCGTCATCCCCCCTCTGACCTCGCGCCTGTTGCACAAGTAGCGACTTTAGCCCGCCACCGTGCTTCCTACGCGCTCCAAGTATTTCTAACATTTAACGATTTGGTGGATTTCGATGACGCTTAGCAAGTTTTCACTCCTTAAAAATTCGCAAAATTTTAGTTAAGTGGCAGACTTGTTGGTAGAGGGAGAGACACCGGTTCGAACAGGTCTGTGTTTTAATCGTCTCATTTGTTTGTGCTTATTTCTATTTATATTATCCCCAGTTTAGACAATCCTAGAGCAAACAATAGGGCTTCCGCCGCTTGTCGGCGGGATGGCTTTCGATCAGCTTGGGGTATAAACCCTGATTTAACTTCGCTATGGCTACCGGAATCCTTCACTAACAGCAAGTTCGAAGACTCCAACTGAGCGTTCCAGCATGCCTCCTTCAACATGCGGATCCTCTGTCGCGGAACTAGAGAACGAAGCCTCAGTACCTAACCTGGCAGAAGTTGGAGAACCTGACCACGGACCCGCCGACACCGACCAACCCTACTCAAAAATCTCATTTGAATGAGAAATTTTTGTGTCCGATAAATACATACGAGTCATACAAGATATATAAGAACATAAAATAACCATATAAAAAAACTTCAGAGAAGTTTCTTATATGGCTTTTATATGTTCTTATATATCTTGTTTAGTTCTTTGTGGTTATTATATATTTTGGATGATTCATATGTGTTTATTGGACACAAATTTCTCATACAAATGGCTTCTTCAATGGGGAAGGTGAATGGTATAAATCCAATTGATCATCTAAAAAACGCAAAACAAATTTTTTTTTTTTTTTTAGTTCAAGCAAAAGCGGAGACACAGTTATGAACTCACCTACCACGAATGTTGACCTGTCTGTAATATTTGTATCCGCTATTAAAAACCAGAAAATTGCAACGATCAGCAGTCTAAAACTGTTGCATTGAAACAGAGGTGCCCCAAATGTATTCACGATATTAGGTGCAACAACAGATTAAACCTGATCGCAGTGGATACTCAAAATGACCTGACGACCCGTGCGCTCCTTGCGTGCACTCACATTTGCGGTTTGAAAATTGGGGCTTACGAGTCTGTTCCGAGGCACATCGCATTAGGAGAGATCAAAGACGCTGACACTCTACTTTCAGATGCCAAAATTGAACATGTGAGATTATCAGAAGGTTAAGTGGCCAGAATCTGATGGCTTGGAAAAAGTTCCAGAGTGAAGATATCGTTCAGCGAAACAACGCTGCCGAGTTCTGTCTTTCTCGGTTCAATGCCGAAAATGTTGTGAATATGAACATCGCGAAGGGGGGGGGGGGGGGGGGGGGAAGGGAGGGGAGGGGCCTCATGCAAGCACCCACCCATCTGCAGTCGCTGCGGAGAAGCATGCGAAAACAACTCCGCGTGTTCTGCTGAAAAAAAAAAAAAGCGCCAACTGTAGTCGTGTCATATGACACCTGAGACTGTGGTGGAAGAAATTCGAAACTTTTTAGTAGAAGTAGTCAAGCTTACACTGCCACGTCCTCTTCCTGCCCACAATGGCAGAGAGAAAGTGAGACCCGCAAGTACGCACGCAAACACACAGTTGACTGGCGCCGCAAGGTCCGCCGTCTCACAACATACGCAAACAAAACAAACGGCTGAAATTGGACAACCTCTACAGTACACTTACAGAACACAATGAATGAGACATCTAACAAGCAGAACGCAAGCGCCCATGGCTATGCTGCAGCTGTAAAAAAGGATCAACAGAAGCTCACCAAAGGTGGGCCCCTCCCTCAAATGACCTCAAAACTCCAAGTTCCAGAACCCAAGCGAGAAAGGGAAAGGCCGTCAACGGGCTGCCACTCCTGATTCAATGCGGAAGGCTACTTCCAACACTGACGCTCCGCCAACCAAAGATAATGCATGGGATAATTGGATTCCGCTTATCGAAAAACCAGCTAGCATGGCCTACAGCCTAATACCTTCTATCGACGCCCAGTGAACACGAAACATCACATCACTGCTCAATGTGATTCTTCCTCTTATGTGATAATTATAAACTCGGGAAGCATCATCAAGCCGCATACATGCGTCTGCCAATCTGTGATTTCCATCAGTTCTCCAGTGGAACGTGAACGGCATACGGACCCGGATTCCCGAACTTCGGCTGATTCTGCAGCAAAAAATAATAGACGTGACTAGTCTACAAGAAACTAGCATACCGGCTAGAGAAGTGCGATTGTCCTCCTACGTTTTATACAATTCGACCGCCCGAGTTTGCATGGGTTCGTTCGGTACGCTCCACACCAAGGCTGCGGTGTCCGGCAGCCGGCTGTTTCGATACCCCTATACCTCTTCTCAAACAAATCTGATCAGATGCTCCGAGAGAAGGGACGTAGCTTTTCGGCGGGTTCTGTTCAAGCTCTAACTGGCCCCAAGGCGCGGGACCGCGCTACAAAATTACTGTACGAGTCGGAGTGCTCGTATTCGGCAGAGACAATGTGTGAAGAAGTGACATGCGAAAAAGCTACGGATAAGGCGGACAGTGCTCGGGCACCTGTAAGGAAGACTGATCCCGAGATCGCGGAGGCTGAGCCAAGCGCGTCGGAAGATGCTCATCATCCTGCAGGGGAGCTGGAACCAGAGGGAATCACACTGACACCGGTGTCGGCTAGTTTTCAGAAGCTCTTGAGCGTCGGGCGATCAACTTTGATCGCAGAGCACAGCAGGAAGGGGATCATTCGCTTCAAAACTTGAAAGATTGTTGCCAAGAAGGCTCGGAAGAACGTTACGTTCCACAAGCGGTCGGGTGTCCTGTACTGAAAGTATCGAGGCCGCAAAGGAGGTGGAGTTTGATGAATTGGTCGTGGCAAGCAAATACCAACGATACCTTCTCCACCTGTCTTACGGCAGCTGTGGTCTGGCCATTTGGTGATCGAAAAGACGAAGGCACGTTTGCTGCAAGTATATTACTGGCCTGGTTGTTTTAAAGAGCTGGAGGAATTCGACAAAACCTGTGACGCATGCTAACGCGTGGGGAAGCCCCGCGATAAGCGGAAAGCACTGGTTCCGATCATCACAAAGCCCTTACAGCGGCTAGTGATTGACACCGTGGGACCACTTCCTGTGACTGAGTCTGGATACCGATATATCCTCACAAGGCTCTGTCCAGCAAAAGTTTCCGGAGGAAGACCCACTTCGGAATCTCAGTTCTGTTGTAATCGTTGACTCGTTGTTGTCAGTATTCGCTCGCGTGGGTTTTCCTTCTGAGATCCATGCAGAGCGACCTGAAAAGTTCGTTTACGACCCGGCTAACCACCACCTTCTTTGAGAAGTTTGGGATTTGCATTATTCACAGCTCGGTGTGCCATCTTCCATGCAACTGTGTGGGAAAATGGCATTCGGTGCTCAATACAAGACGCTGTTCTCCCATCAGACTGGAAGGTAGGGAAGGTGGTACCCATTCACAAGGCTGGAGATAAACATTCCCCTCTTAATTATCGTCCGATCTCAATAACCAGCATTCCTTGCAAACTTCTTGAACATATAATTTTTTCTCACCTCGTCAACTTCTTAGAATCTAACAACTTCTTCAACAATGCCCAACACGGTTTTCGAAAAACATTTTCATGTGAGACCCAACTGCTATCTTTCACGAATGACCTACATCACATTCTGGACCGAGGATCCCAGGCGGACTGCATTTTCCTGGATTTCGCCAAAGCATTTGACAAAGTTTCTCACAATCTTCTGCTTCTAAAACTTTCCAAACTTAACATAGACAATAACGTTCTCGCATGGATACAGTCTTTTTTAACTCAACGGTCTCAATTTGTCACTGTGAATAACAATAACTCCTCTTTTGTCAAAGTTGCGTCAGGGGTTCCGCAAGGGACAGTCTTAGGGCCGTTGCTATTCTTAATTTATATTAACGACCTACCCACTAGTGTCTCTTCGTCCGTGTCTCTGTTCGCTGACGACTGTGTACTTTACCGTGAGATTCTCAATCATAATGACACCTGTATACTCCAATCAGACATTAATGCTATTTACCGTTGGTCTGACTCGTGGTCTATGAAGCTTAACACTAACAAATGCAAGGTCATGCGTGTGTCTCGCCAGTCTCAG